TTTTTCCCTTTGTCTGCCTGATTGCTTCCCCAACAGTGGCCTGCAAGGCGGGGTGTTCAGGTCCGGTGATGAGTATCTCGTCCGAGCCCTTCCCTGTCAGCCTGATGGCCCATGTCCTGTTCATTCTTTTCCGTTGATGGGCGCCGGCTAGGATCGTTATCTCTCGAATGGGAATTCGCGACTAGATCTGGGAAGGACTTGTGGGCCACACTGTACTTTATATTTTATATTATTATCGCTACAAATATATTTATTTGGATCTCTACTAATTTTTATAAGTTCATTTATCACACATTTGTTTGGGCCTCTTCAAGAACACATACCGAGTTGTCCTTGACATTACAAAGCCAGGCACATAAATGTTGTTTCATATGGAAATCAGTAGTTGTTTTTCAAACCTTGCTTTAATTGCAAAGATCAAAGTGTGGTGAGCTGAGCCTGTTGAGCCGAGGAGGTGCCGTGTTTGGCAGGGGGAGCGTTCCCTTCCCTCCATGCTCCCCTGGAAGCCAGGCAGCTCCCTCAGCACAGCCGGCTGATGGTGCCACCTCCAGCACATTTTGCCAAAACCCTTTCCCCTGCTGGTGTGTTTTATCCTGCCTGGAGCAGGATCCTGCCTCTTTCCCCACGGCCAGCACAGGGGATGGGGATGTGTGGCACCATAGGTGCTCCTGTGCCGTGGAAATGCCAGTCCTGGCTCTGAGCCTGCTCTGGGAAAGGGCTCTTGGGGTGTATTGGGTGTTTTTGGATCAGCCTGGGAGTTGGAACGGACACAGTGTAAGGCACAGCCTGAACTGGGGGGAGAGAGAAGCAGAGCCCTGCCCACGGTGATCACTGGACCCTGCTCAGCACCCAGGGCTGCCCCTGCCCTGCACCAGCACAGAGTGGGACAGAGAGGGGACCAGGCAGAGCCTGCCAGCCTGAGCACGTGAAGGTCTGTTGAGTGCTGCTGTATTACATTAATTGAGATAATCCCAAGAACTGATGAAATGGTTTTTTTCTCTTTATTTCATGCTCTATTCCATATAGATCATTCCTCCCCAGAAGCATGGTGTTTGTTGACAGTTAAACAAATCCTGGCTGTTCACGTGTATTTTATTTATTCCTTTGCATGAGAACTGGCAGTGTCCTGCCTGCCTATTTGGCCAGGCTGGTGATCCCACAGTTGTGACTTCCTGTATTTTGCAAATCATATCCACATTATGGCTGTTGTTGAATAGAGAAAACATAAGGTATTAATATTAATGAATGGATTAAAACAGCAGCTGATGATTCTCTACTCAGCCCTGTGGCTTTCAGTGACTCTGAGTAGAACCATGTGAGCTCCATGAGCTCAGTGTATCAGCCCTATGTGCTGTGAATGCAAGGTCAGGCTTGGTCTCTTGTCTTCTCATCATGTTACCAAGATGTGACAGCGTGGTACTGCGTGGTATTAATGCCTTCACATCAGCAGTGCTCTGTTTGTGTGATCAGCTCAGTGCCAGAGGAAGTCCACTCAGTCTGTCTCTGGTAATGGCCACGGTGTGTGTGCCAGCCTGCACATCACACTCAGAGCACTGATCCAGGCTGGCATGTTTCAGCACAGAGAGAAGGTATTTTGTCTGAGAAAGAGCCGTGTTCTGTATGTGCTGGTCACAGCTGGGATGTTGAAAAGCCTGCTGCATGCCACCACACTCCAAAGGTTTAGCAGCTTCTGCCCATTTCCTGAGCAGCAGCCTTCCCGCAGGGATGTGTAACTGAGCAGGGCGTGGCAGCAGCTGCTGTGACCTGGTGTGGGGCTCACCTGAGTGCAGGTGAGAATGAGATCAGAGTGTTTAATCAGCTCCCCTCCACAGGGCTGGCCAGGTGCTCGGCTCCTCACCCCCTCACCCTGTTACTGCTCTCCCTCCCTGCAGCAGGAGCTGGGCTCAGCTCGTGGTCTACACAGACACCGGTCCCTGCAGTCCCAAAGCAAAGGGATGATTGCCCAAAGCAGCAGCAGAGCCCTTTGTGAGAGTGGCTGCACCCACAGCCCAGCTCTTCTGGAGCTGAAGCTTGATAGCCAAGTCTGGAAAAATACACTTCTACATCCACTCTCTTCCCTGCTTGCCACTGCTTTATGTTAAAAAGCTAAAACCTCTAAATGACTGAGGGTGCATTCAATCTCCCCATCCAGATCATGGATAAATATATTTAGAGAATCACAGAATATCCTGAGTTGGAAGGGACACACAAGGACCATCAAAGTCCAACTCCTGGCCCTGCACAGACACCTCAAGAATTCCACCCTGTGTCTGACAGCATTGTCCAAATGTTCCTTGAGTTCTGGCAGCCCCACCACCCTCTGGGCAAAGAACTTTTTCCAACCTAAACCTAAACCTGAACCTAAAACCTAAACCTAAACCTAAACCTAAACCTAACCTATCCAACCTAAACCTGCTGTGACACAGCTCCAGGCCATTCCTGTGGGTCCTGGCACTGAGCAACAGAGAGCAGAGATCAGTGCCTGCTCCTCTGCTGCCCCTCAGGAGAGGGGGAACACTCAACCCTGTCATCACCATCATCAAAAAACTTCCTCACACCCAGGGTTCCCCCACTGCCTCTCCTTCCATGCCTGTTCCTTCTGAAGGATTTGTGGCCACCCACTGCAGCACTCCAGTTGTGAGAATCATCCCACCATGTTGCTGTGGTGGCAGCTGCATCCCAGTTTTCCTTCCACACCATAGCCTTCGGCTCCTCCTGTTTGTTTCCCATCCTGTGTGCATTAGTGCACTTCAGTTGGGCTGATCCTGCCACCTTTTGGTGGGGGGAGAGGCTCTAATTTCTACATGACCATTCTGAGGCACTCCTGTTGTTTTTAACACATCAATAACCCTTTTGTTTTTGCTGCCACATGGATCCATCCCCTACTTTCACAGAGATATACATAGCTGCACTGCATCCCACCTAGCTCTGGGTACACACTGGCTGTGTGGGTAAGTGGGAACCTCTCACCCTCTCCTTCCCCATCATCCTGTTATTTTTGTCAGAATGGAAACACTGCATTAAGCTGTTTCTGGTTCAGTGAAGGGGCATTTGTTATCCAAAGGCAGACTGCATTTCAATTTTCTTTCAAATGCCTCGTTAACCCTCTTCTGATTTACTCAGCTCCCGATTATCCTGACGTTCCTTCCCAACGTGCATCTGTCTCCTTTGTGGAGAGGCAGAAGCAGTAACCCAGAGCAGGGGATAGCTCCGGGTGACAGAGCAGCCCAGGGGCTGTGGGTGGCCTGTGCCCTGTGTGCTGTGGTGACACTGCTGCAGTGCTGGGACAGTGGCACAGACAGCTTTTCTCTTTCTCCTGTTGTCTTCCCATAATTGATCATTGCACCATTTTCCTTCACTGCCACTCCCCAGTGGGCACATCCTTTTTAGCAGAACCCCAGTACGCACTCCATCTTCTCAGGCAAATCTTTGGTGTTCAGCCAGTCCCAGGTACACTCAGGGAGCTCTGTGTGTGTACTCTGTGGTTGTTGAAATCCAAGGGAGACTCTCAGCTGATGAGGCAGTGGCATCAGGCACTCCTGCTGGACCAGCCCACACTGCAGTGGCACCCAAGTGTTACCTGGCTCCCCCACAGCTGAGGTGGAACTGGCAGGAACGGCACCAGGCACAGCATCACTGTGCTCAGGAGCCCCCTTGCAGCTTCCAGCCACATGGGCTTTGGTTTTGGTTTGGGTGTTTTAATTGTTGGGGGTTCTGTTGTTCCTAGAGAGGGGCCTCTGGGGAATGTAGTAAATAACTGTTGTTCCCCGGTGTAATTCCTTAAAAATCTCCAGGAGTCTTATTTTAAACGTCTTAAGTGCTATGTTTAACCACCTTAAAGGCTTCAGCCTCTCCCCATTCCAGGGCAGCTCTGAGGCCTCCAAATGCTTTCTGCTCTGAAGTATGTCTCTAAATATTGATGCTCAAGGTTTTATTTCAAGGCTTTTCTGAGCAGAGCTGCACTGGCAGCACCAGAGCATCCTCCACAAACAAGAAACCACCGAGCCTTGTTTACTGAGGCGAAGGCAGCAGTATGAAATACCAGAATTTATGTTTTTATGGTAGCAAATGTAGCGTGTGCAAATGATTCTGAATAAATGCTGTTGAGAGCAGGTGAAGCAACTGCCAGCCTTGCACCAACTCTCATTGCTCATGGGGGGCACAGAGCTGGCAGCACGCTGGCACACGGTGCTGCTGCCCAGGAGGGACTGACAGGGACTGCTCTGCCCACAGCTCATCAGCGATGGCAGCGTGGTGTACGCAGAAGCTCTCTGGGACCACGTCACCATGGATGACCAGGAGCTGGGATTCAAGGCCGGCGATGTCATCGAAGTAATGGATGCCACCAACAAGGAGTGGTGGTGGGGGAGGATTCTGGACAGTGAAGGCTGGTTCCCAGCCAGCTTTGTTCGGGTAAGACCGTGATCTTTCTTTGTGCCCTCTGTATTAGCAGCAGGAGTTTGTTCTTTTTCTCCAGGTTTAATGTTCTGTGGTGACTCCTAAGGCCCTTCCCTGTTGGAGATGGTTCAGCATGTCTTGTTAGTATTCCTCTACAAGAGGCTATGGAACAGGGTGCCCTCCTGGCTGAGCAGCCACCAGTGTGGAGAACTTCCTCTACATGAGCAAATCAGGGCAAAGGGTTCAGCTCCAGACTGGAGGAGAGCTGAGCTGAGCTGTGCCAGCTGGGGAGCTGCCCTGTTTGGTGCTGTGCAGCCTGGCTCCTGCATACCCATCTGTATATTGGCTGATTTGTGCCCAAGCACATGGCATCTGCTTCCAGGAGCAAGCAGCACTCTCCTGGAGGAATCCCTGATGCAGCTGGCAGAGATCTTCCCTCCGCTGTCCACTCAGACAATAGAGATGAGCATGGCTGCAAAGGCACCTCTCTCCAGCTGGGGCTGGGCTCAGAGGATGCACCCACCTGGCCCAGGCTGCTGGGCTGGCACACAGCACTGGATGCCAGGCACTAAAAATGGAGGAGAAAAACACAAAAAACGTCTCGGCGGTCATCTGGGGCAGGCTGAGACACTCGGTGCTTTGTGAGTGACAGACCGAGGCTGTCCCCTGGTGCCAGCTACAAAGGCCACACAGAAGAGCTGTGCAGACCAGCCCAGACAGTCCCAACTGCTCACTGCAGAGGCTTCATTTCCAGCAGAACTTTCTGAAACACATCTGAACTCTCAGGGCAAGCAGGGGGGAAACCAGGAGTGTGGCAGGGTGGTAACTGCTGTGCTCCGCTGTCCTGCTGTGAGGAGAAAGGCTTTTTTCCTTTCTCCTGGCTGTGACTGTGCTGTGGGTGCCTGACAGCTTTCAGCACCTCGGGGCAGGCTCCTCAGCGCTGCAAAGGCAATTAGGTGCCCAAGGGCAGGGATTCTCAGCCCTTTAGCTCTTTATCCAGGTCACTTCAGATCACAAGTGACCCAAAACCAGGTGAAGCATGAAAGGAGGTGACACGAGGTCATCTGGTGTCTGTAGCACAAGTCCTTGGAGAAGTGGGGCAGTTTTGAAATGCTTTGTTATAGGTTGCAGGAGGTGGTCTCAGCTGGGTAATTATTACAAACAGTGGAATGTTTTGCAAGATTACCAAGCCCTCAGCGCTGCTTTTTTTTTTGCAATGAAAACACAGACTTTTTTTCTTTCATGTTACTGGTAAATTGAATTGTCCTGGCTGGCAAAAACTTGTCATAGTATCTTAGAGTAAGGCAGATTAGTACTAGGCATTAGCGATGCAGAGTAAGAAATTCTTTTAAGGCAGGAATCACAGCACTTATTCAAGCATCCAGGTGAAGATTTCCTGCTAATTCACTCCTCTGAAGCTCACTGCAGGGAGGGCTGCTGTGTCTGGGGGTTTGGGTGACACTGCAGGACTCTGTCACTCCACAGAGTTTCAGGCCGATGTCTTGCTCACACTGAAGGAGAACCAGGATTGCACATCTTGAGGGCTTCAGCAGTGAGTAAATGTAATCTGTGCCTGTGTTGGCAAAGGGAGTGGTGTGCACTGGTTTTTATATAAAGGTGTATTTGTATCAAGTGGTAAGTTACAGAACCTAGAAGAAACGACATTAAAAGTTTAAAGCAGTCTGTGTGATTGCACTAAAAATTCTGATAATTATGTGTGTTTTAACTTCCTGTCCTTCACTGTGCTGGGATGGACCCTTTGAGCCATGTACAGAGTCCTCCCTCGGGCACTCCAGGAGCTACAACAGTACCACAGAAAAGAGAGTTCCTGAGTGAAATGCCCCGGTTGTGGCAGCTTTAAGCTCCCAGCTCGGTGTTTCCCTGTGCTGCCATTTGATGGGGGCCTGGAGCCCCCCACAGCCCTGCCTGTAGTGCCCCTCTTGCCCACGGTGGTGCCCACAGGCAGCTGCTTTTACTTTATCACTTTAAATAATCCTGGGGAAGCAGACACCGAGGGGCCATCTGTTACCTACAGTATGAGAACAATAAAGCAGATAAAAACCCAACCATTTACTGGTTCTCCCCTCCCTCCCGAAGTGTTCCTTCAAATATTTAAGAAAATTTCACTCCATAAACCATTTTTGTCCTGATTTTCTATGTATTCTTCCTGAAGGATTCCATATTATTCCTGTGACTTCAGTCCACAAGAAATGCCTGCTTAAAACCACCCGTGTCACGGTGGGAGCAGCTGCCATGTGGCTTGAAAGGACCCTCCCCAAAGTGACTGTCTGGTCTCAGCTTCCCCGAGGGGAAAATGTTTCCAGGCAATCCACACACCCTCTTCACACCTTGTCCCAGCTCAGTGTTTGTCTGCCCACCCAGTCCAGTGGCAGAGCTGTGTTTAGCAGTAGGAGCAGTGAACATCTTGTGTGCCTGCACAGCTGCGAGTAAACCAGGATGAGCCCATGGAAGATTATCCCCTGAAGGTAGAGGGGGGAAAAGAGGACGACTCCCGACGCTTTGGGATGGGCCAGACCACCAAAGACCAAATGAGGACCAACGTCATCAATGAGATCATAAGCACAGAGAGAGACTACATCAAGCACCTGAAGGACATTTGTGAGGTAAGGAATAAAGGGGGAAGGGACTGTAAGAACTTGGCTGAAGATAATGGACTGTGTCCCATTCTTGCTCAGAAAGGGACCCTAAGCAGGTAACTTTTCTGAAAACGAGACTGTATTTTCATCAGTTCTGCTGAATGCCATTATATGCTCAAAAAACAGAAGACAATTTATTACAGCAAAATCCCAAACGCCTCTGCATTTGGAGCACTCACTTGTGCTCTGATTAAATGGAATTAATTGAATTTCCCAAGCCAGAGAAAAGTAAATGTCTAGCACTGCTGTCCTCTCTAATATCTGTTCTGGGGTAATATAATCAACAACTCCAGCCTTCAGGCAAGTCATGCTCAGATCCAAACTGAGGTTGCTCAGCCAATTGGGTCCTTTACTGTCAAATATGTAGAATATTGTGACACCTCCTTTAAAACAGATCCATCCTGTACACAGGGGGAGTGAAGGCAGGTGGAATTTTTGCAGGAACAGAAGTCTCTGCTGCAATGGTACCAAAGTGTAGTGGCTGCAGCAGAGGCAGCTGGGGCAAAGAGCACACACAGTTACAAACAAACCTCTCCTGCCCCTCGGAGCTCTCCTGTGCCTGGAGTCAGTCATCAGCTCCTCACACGGGCACCCAAACCAGTTCCACAACTGCACTTAACTGGTCTAAATCCAGCAGTGCTGGGCTCAGAGCACCCCACTGCCTGCAGACACAAAAAGGCTTTTTCAGCAAGAGACAAAGCAGCTCTGTGACTCCTTCAGGTGTGGGCTGCAGCATCCCACCGCGAGTCTGTGGCAGCTTCCATTTCTACCACGTTTAGGGGATCATTAGAGGAAATAATAGTTAAAGATGGGTACATCTCTGCAGGAATGTGATGTACACCCGACTGCAGTCCTTGAGGCTTTCTGTTACCACAGAGCAGGTGCCCAGGAAGCTTTCTGATTTGGTTTTCTCCTAGGGTTACATTAAGCAGTGCCGCAAAAGAGCAGACATGTTTACAGAAGAACAGCTGAAGACAATCTTTGGGAATATTGAGGACATCTACAGGTGCCAGAAGAAATTTGTTAAAGCATTAGAGAAGAAATTTAACAAAGACCACCCACATTTGAGTGAGGTTGGCTCGTGCTTCTTGGAATATGTAAGTAAATTTGACTTAATGGGAAAGGGGTAGCTGAGCATGATTAAACCAGATGATTTAGAAGTTTATCTGACAGAACTGAAGCTTTCTTTAAAAAGACCCATCCAATCAAATTAAATGCCACCACCCCCCACCCTGGCCCTGTTCAACCACTCCCCACTTCCCAAAGAAATACCCTGTAGCTTGTGTGGCTGTGGAAAGAGCATTTCCAAGTACCTCACCTTCTGAACACTCTAATCCAGGCCAGACCTTCGTACTTCAGGGAAAACGTAGGAAGGTTTCGAAATCTTGAGGGGGACTGAGTTTGCCGTGATTTTCAGGTATTTTGCAGTGAGTTTGCAGTGATGCTATTTTCAGGTCAGTGCAGGATCAGGTGTGGCTGGTGTGGGCACTAAAAGCATTCTGCTGAGCCCAGACCAGGTATGTGGGAATGTCTGGGTCTCTCAGATGAGCTGCAGGTGCTGAATGTGTAACACACCCTGCCCACCCCCAGCTTTAGGTGTCTGGTCTCGAGAAGCCTGGGGAGGATACAAATCCCCAAAGGGGTCCAGTGACAGGGTACAAATCCCCAAACACACAGAGGAGTCTGTGCCAGGGCATGGCCTGGGAAACAGGGGCAGTAAATCCCTCTCTGTCCCTTGCAGCAAACAGAGTTTCAGATCTACTCTGAGTACTGCAACAACCACCCCAACGCCTGCATGGAGCTGTCGCGCCTCACCAAGGTGAACAAGTACGTTTACTTCTTCGAGGCCTGCCGGCTGCTGCAGAAGATGATCGACATCTCCCTGGATGGCTTCCTGCTCACCCCCGTGCAGAAAATCTGCAAATACCCCCTGCAGCTGGCTGAGCTGCTCAAGTACACCAACCCCCAGCACAGGTAGGCCAGTGAGGGGGGAGGGAAGGAGCCAGGCTGCTCTCCTGGAAATGGGCTCCTGCTGAATCTTGCTTGGAGAGCAGTGGCTAACTGCAGCCAACACCACAATTCTTACAGGTTACCTTGTAGAAACCAGGAAAAACGGTTTATGTCAAGTACATAATTTTCCACTACACTGAGCTTTCCTGTCACAGACTGAGTTAAAAGGTCCACTTTATAATGGCCCTTTTCTATTTTATTTGGCTCAGTATCTGCCATACCAGCACATACGTACTTTAGAGCTACGTGTTTCTGGTGGTGGTGTTGAGAACTTTGCCTCCAAAAGCATTGGTTGAATTTATCCCAAAGTGTCCATACAGCTTCCCAGTGGGAAGTTGTGCCCTGCACCAGTCCAGGCATGCATGCTTGGTGCCCCCCTCAGCTCCAGAGCCTCCAAATCCATCACTCGCTTTCAGGGTGAAGGCACTGCCTTTGGCTCAAATAACTGTCACTTAATTAAGTATCTGAAAACATGAAAATTCTGTATGAAAATGTTGATAGTGGTCCTTTGTGGTTTGACTTAATTTCACCTTCCTAATTGCAGCCCTGGTACTTCCCAGAACGGTTTTAAGCATGTCTTGTTAAATCTCTAAGCGCGTTGTCTGGAGCTGACCTCAGAGCAGAAAGCTTCTTAAGGGAAGTGCACAGATGTTTTGATAGTTGCCTTAGAGCCAAGTTGTGCAGCTCAGCTACTTCCCAGCCGCTCTGAACTCAGCAGAACTAGCTGGTGGCCACAGATGGTGTGTGGGGGAGGGCAGATGAGCCTCTGTCCTACCCTGCCAGATAAACCATCAGCTCCTGTTTGAAACAAGCCAGTTACTGTTGAACTGCTTCACCTCTGCACCACAGCCCTGTCCCTGCATGGGAACAGCAGCATTATGAGCATGTTGTATTATGTTGCAAAAAGAAAATGAGAAACTAGAGGTTCTTCCAGCAATTCATATTTACACCTCTGTAGCTAAATTTGATTACTTTCCCCCTTCCCCAGAGGTGGCCTAGATTTGTTACCAGACCATAATCTGTGCCTCAAAACCAGTGAGTGTCTGAGAAGCTGCCACAGGAGCACGTGTCTGATTCCAGCACAGAACAGCTGGGACAGACTGCAGGTGGAATTCCTGGCTCCATCCCCAGCTCTGTGCCAGGCTGCTCTCCTCTGGAGTGTAGGTACAAAACCCACGTGCCATTCTGCCAAACCTAATGTTCTGCCCCTCCCCAGGGATTTCAAGGATGTGGAGGCTGCCTTAAATGCCATGAAGAATGTGGCTCGGCTCATCAACGAGAGGAAGCGGCGGCTGGAGAACATCGACAAAATCGCTCAGTGGCAGAACTCCATAGAGGACTGGGAGGTGAGAGACTCCCCTGCCCAAGGAATCCCACGTAGTTCCTCTTCTGCCCTTACAGCAGCTTCTCTCTACAGTGACATCTCACTGTCAAGCCCCACCTCAGCTCTCTGCCCATCTTTGTGGAGAGTCTTTAATTTTTATTTGAAAATTTATGATCTTTTAGTACAATGGAGCAGGTCTGGCATATAACCTGACTCGACCAGCTGCCTTTGCATGTTCCCTGGGATTTTTGCTTCCCTGTTTTTCCTTGCAGAATGAAATCAGCATGTAGGTTAGTGAAATTCTATTCTTTTTCTCTTGCCCCCCATTTTATCTTGAGTGACTTCAAACTTTCAAGATAAGCAGAATTACATCTTGATTCTTAATAAGCCAGGTTATTATTGCAGAAAGGCAACTGGCATAGTGACAGAGGAAACCTAGGTTCCCTGTAGACTCATTAAAAAAATTTGCTAGATAAAAGAAACAAAATATTCATTTTCTAAATCCTACACTTAATAAACACACACAGTCTCCCTGCCCAAGAATGTCAAGCTAAATTCTTAGCTCCCTGCTTATATTCCTCCTTTATGTGTGGGATGGAGCTGCTTTCCTGAGCAAACTCCCTGGAAAAAGTTATTAAAAAAATTAACACACTATTGTTCTAATCAAATTCAGTTCCCATTCTCTGGGTGCCAAGAGCAGTGTCTCCCTGATGTGCCAAGGACTGTCCTCCAGCACAGTGGGTCTCTCTCATTCCCAGATGAGTTCTGGCAGCAGGAATTCAGGCTCCCACTTTCAGAAGAGGCTGAGACCAACCTGTTCTTTGTGCTGTTCTCAGGGAGAAGATGTCCTAGTCAGAAGCTCAGAACTCATCTATTCTGGGGAATTAGCCAAGATCTCCCACCCTCAAGCCAAGAGCCAACAGAGGATGTTCTTCCTCTTTGATCACCAGCTTGTCTGCTGCAAAAAGGTAATCCATAAATGCTGGCTACTGCTGTGCTGATGGATTTAAGTGAGCTCCTTCTCCACCCCTTTGTTTCCTTAACTCTTCCTGGTTTCATGTGCTCCAGGCATTGAGCCTTCTCTGTGCATTCTCTGCAGTCTTTTCTCTGCTGTCCTGGAGTGTTCTGTGCACCTGAGCACAGCAATCAGCTACTGGCCCAATTCTCACAGCACAAGAGAAAAGCACTGCACTGCTTCTGGGGTTAGTGTGGGGTTATTCTGTACAACTCAGTTATAAGTACTGTCACACAAGTTATTTTAACTGCCTTGTTTTTCATCTGAACTTCCACCTCAGTGTTGTATTCAGAAAAAACTGCAGGTCTGATGAACATCTGTGGGCCTTGGCAGTCAGTAAGGCCATGCTAACAGCACATGGAAGTCTGTAAGTACAGCTCATGCTGGTTTTCATCAGCTGAGTAATAAAAGAAATCTTCCCTCTTGGAGCCAATGAATGGTACCTTCCTCTGGCATTTCAGAAGTGAATGTGCCAATTATTTTTTGCATATACACCACAGCATGGAGGTAGCTCCAGGTAAATTAGGCATGAAAATTGCTGCTCTCAAAGTTACTTTTGATTGTCAACAAAAAAATCAAGAGTTAATTAGCATTATTGTTGCTTTTTAACTGGAACTGAAGGATTGGAATAGTGTTTTCTGTCAGAGGCTTAAAGAGGATTTGGGATCACGTGTAATACCTGAGCTTCATTCAGCAGAGAGGCCCCAACACAAACACCAGCCTGTCCTGACCCCACTGCCACAAGAAGCCACATGGTCCCCAACAGTGCCCATAGCAGCTCAGCATGCTGCAGTTCCACAGACTCAAATCCAGAATTCATTTCTTTTACAGGACTGCAATGAAACCAGGAAGGGTAAATGCTCCATCCTCCCCATGAAACAGCAACATCTGTTGTGATCTCTCTTGCAGGACCTTCTGCGCAGGGACATCTTGTATTACAAGAGTCGGATCAACGTGGATGATATGGAAATCCTGGATGTAGAAGATGGGAAAGACAAGGACTTCAATATCAGTGTGAAAAATGCATTTAAACTGTACTGCAGAGACACTGAAGAAGTCCATTTATTCTGTGCAAAAAAGCCTGAGCAGAAACAGCGCTGGCTGAAGGCATTTGAGAATGAGAGGAGGCAGGTGCAGCTTGACCAGGAGACAGGTATGGAAAGAGCAGTGCTGGGAGACTGGGTTTTTAAAAATTATTGGTTTTGGTTTTTCATCTTTTTTTTACCCATCAGCTAATGCCTGAGGAGTGAAAGGGTGGGGAAGCCAATCCATGCTCCAGGGCAGCTCTGGGCTGCCAAATTACACATTGTGAATGAATCTGTGCAATTAAAAAACTGCAAACCACCATAAACCATCTCTGCAGTTTGTCCTCAGGGAGGCTGATGTGTCTTCAGGAGTTCAAGCAGGGCTGACAAAATAGTCAGTATATTACATGTAGGGTCCAGAACAGATAGAACAGGTTCAGTCAAGGGTTCTCACTGTGTTGTGTTGTTTTGTCCAAATCCTTCTTAATTCAGCCTGGTGTGATCTGAAAGATTTCAGCCACCACTGGCCTGGACTGGCTTCTCTTCCCAGTGCAGCATGGGCTGAGGGGCCTGCAGCAAACCCTGCATGGGGGGGTTGTGCAGCACAGCTGTGCCCCCCCAGCCTTGGCAGTAATTGTGGCCTCGCACCTCAGGCATTTGCCTACCCTGTCTTCTGAGCTACCAAATGATGAGCTGCTGCTGACAGAAATCTACTTTATCTTCCAGGTTTTTCCATCACAGAGGTGCAGAAAAAGCAGGCAATGTTGAATGCCAGCAAGCAGCACCATGCTGGAAAGCCCAAGGGTGAGTCACACCTGAGGAGCACTGTGAGAATGGGGGGTAGCTCTGTATTTACTACAAGGGAGAGGTTTCCATGAAGCAGCATTAACAAACTCTTAAGAAGGCCAGATGGCGACAATTTGCACTACAATTCCTGGTAGATTCAGATGGCTGACTCAGGAGAGTATTCCTAACTCCAGGAGAGCCACTTTGCAAAAATCAGCACTCTGCCAAAACCCAGCAGCTTCTGCTCCAAGGCCAGTGCACAGCCTCTCCCAGCAGAATGGCATTCCCTTTGGGAAAAGGCAAGTTTTGCAGTAGTCCCCATGGTGCACAGAGGGCCACAGAGGTCACTGCAGGAGGGACTGTTCCTGCTGGACAGCTGTGCCTGTGGAACGTGCTCTGAAACCTGCACCTTGGGCAGAGTGCCGGGGGTGGGTACCATGCTTGAGCGCTGCTCTTCGTTCAGCCTGTCAGAGACAAGGATAATTAGCAGAGAGTGAATTAGGAGAGTGAAGTTAAGCAAAATAAAGGTTCCTGTGCTCACAGCACAGTTGGCTGAGGACAACAGTGCTGATGCCATCTTCCCCTTCTCTTGTTCTTCCTTGTTCAGAGGAAGAGGTGTTGCTTTGTTTCCTCTGAACCCACAGAGGCAACCACTTCCTCTTGCTGGAACCAGCCAGCATTTAAAGCCCAGCCACATCTCCTGAAAGAAAGCTTGGCTAAATGTCAAAAAGGGTCAGAAATAAGATTTGGCTGCAAACAGGGGGAAGTTTGGAAGGAGGCCAGACCACGCTAACAGAGCAAAGCCCTTAGAGGAGACTGCACAGACCAGCTTTGCCCACCACGCAGGCACTGACCATTCCTACTCAGAAATCCAGCCCAGGAGGTTGTAACAGGCGCCAGCAGCACTTGCACAGCAGCTGCTTCTCCCAGCACAGCCAAAAGCACCAGTGAGCTTTGTCACCAGTCCCGAGCCGCAGCTCTCTAGCTCTGTTGTCATGCTGGCAGAACACCTGGCAGTTGTGCAGCACATTTCTGGGCCTTCCACATGAGCTCTAATCTTAAAAGGCACTGCTGAAAGTGAGGATAAATTAAAGGAAGGGTAGCACTAAGACAAACCCAATTCACAGCCCTGCAGTTTTAATGGGTACTGGGGGAGGCGGTAGAGCAGGGAGAAGGAGCTGTGTTCAACTAACATGCTTCCCATCTCCTCCTCCTCCTCCTCCCAGCTGTCACCAGGCCCTACTACGACTTCCTGATGCGGCAGAAGCACCCCACGCTGCCCACCACGCTCCCTCAGCAGCAGGTCTTCATGCTGGCAGAGCCCAAGCGCAAGCCCTCGAACTTCTGGCAGAACATCAGCAGGCTGACACCCTTCCGGAAATAGGGGCAGCCCCGTGTTTGTGCCTGAACCCCTTCTGAGAAAGCACTTTATCCGTCAGCCCCGGCAGGTGGAGCCCAGGTTCATCCAACCCTGTGTTTACAGAGGATGGCACATGTGCTCCCGCCTTCCCTATTTATTTTGCAGCCCGACTGACCCGCTGGCTCCGAGGTGAGCGCTCGCACGGCCGCGGGCAGCGGTGCCCCGGAGCCGGCCCCGCACTGCCCGGCAGCAGAGCTCCAGGAGCGGGCAGCAGGGAGCTGCACAGGCTGCAGCCCCAGAGATTGTGCTGGCAGCCGACCTTGGACTCGCTCCTTCCCGCTGTGCCCACCGCTGCTGGCTGGCAGCTGTCACAGGGGATGGCAGCTGATGGACCCTGACCACTGCCGTGCTCAGAACAACAGCTCAGAGTCCGTGACGAGGAGGGATGAGCCCTTCTGCTCTGCCCACCCCTGTGCCCTGCATTTCTCAGAGCTATGATCCTCCTCCACCTGTCCAGCTAACTCAGCAGCCTCTGCAGGCACTCAGAGCACAGTGAGCACTGCACTGTGACCTCCTCCCTCCCTTTAGTCCAACACCACTGGTGAACGGTGTCCTACATTAAACTGTGCCAACCTGCAGCATGAGTCAAGTTGAAGAATCTCTCTAGTGGGTTTGAGTTACATAAGTTAGAGAAAAATGTGCCTAATTAATACCATACTCAATTCTTTAGATTCTTGTCTCTACATCATTCTGCCATATTTCCTGGCCAATGAAAATGCTCATTGTTTGTAATGTGTTTATTTATGGTAAAAATCAGAACTGTGTATTTTGTAAGTCTGTAATTGTTCTTGTCAGATGTTGTTAACTTGATGCCTGTTTTGTCTGTTTAATTTTTCTTTTCTTTTTTTTTTTTTTAAAAGAAAGGTCAATATTTGCAAACCTAGCTCCCAGAAGTCAGAGTCTGCTGTTCAACTCTGCAACGTCATTGTTATGCAAACTCCCACAGACCCTCAAATTCAAGGAGTGTTACTGACATTTTTAAAAACGGCATAAAGAGCCTCAAATTTGGCATAAAGAGCCTCACTTTAAGTACCCAAGTTTCAAATGGTGGCCAAAAAGAATGAATTTAAACCTTGGTTAGCAAAAAGAAAGATTTGCCTTACCATAGTGAGAGTTAGAAGCCATACTGACTGAATTCCCTAGAGTAGGAGACATCCTGTGAGAGTGGAAGGAAGACACCAGCTCATTCCAACTCAAGTGTGAGTGAGCACTAACTGTCTGCAGAGCTCAGAAATCCAGTGTTTGTTGATGCTGTAGCTGACCAAAGTCTGGTCATCCAGGGATATCTGAATTCAGTAGCATGTACAAAGTCCTTCTTGCACTATATTTTCCCCCCAGACCAGGGGCAACATTTAATTTCATAAAGAAACTTGTAAAAGTGACTCTCGGCCTGTGTTTGTCTCCAGCCCGTCTATCTGTGTGAAACTTTCTTTTCAAAGTCGCTGTGAGGATTGTGCTCTTGCAGCTCCACAAAGGGCTGCTCAGCCAGAGCAGTGACCTCAGAGCAGCCATCCCATGGAGGGACAGTGGGGCCACAGGGACCTGACCAGAGGGGCCTCTCTGCTCTGGGGAGGACACTGGGTCAATGCTGGGGGATGGAGGGGCAAAAGGAAAATAAATAAACAATCACTCTCTAAGAAGCCACTGAGATCAGGCAGCAGTATTACACAACATACACACACAGACAGCAAGACACAGGCATGGGCACACTGAAAGACACCCAGACACTCGTGGCCCAGCAGATACAGGGGTACTGCCAGGTGTGTATAGACACCCACTGGGGGAGATGGTGACCAAGAGACCCTGACACACAGACACACACACAGGTATGTCAGACAGCTGCAGCCAGCACCACTCGATAACAGAAGGCAATTGTCATTTCTGTGTCTACCCTAAGTGTCTGCACCCTCCTTTCCTTATCCATGGCATGTTTATTTTGATTGGCCAGGAAGAAAACCTGATAGTACTAAAATTAATGATTTTCTGAGCTTATCATCAGCTTTGTAGCAAGTGGAGGGGGGTGGAGGGGCAGAGGACAATCCCATTCCCAACACAGATACAGGATCACATCCCTCACCCCCACACTGAGCATGACCAGCTGTGACAATGCATCAGGATGTTCACAGTCTTGTCCAGCTGCTATCTGGGGACACTCAAGGATGGAGATTCTCCTAAAACCTCTTTACATCCCTGCTCAAAACCACTCTGTCCCTAATGTGAAGGAAGTGTTGCCATCTATTCAAACCTCCCCTTGCTGCAAGGTCTGATCTGGTTTTATGCAGAATGTTGATTAATATACTCAGCTTTACATCTACAATGAAGTCACTCTGGTAGAAATCCTCACCTCTTCTCCCAAGGGAAATGAGGTGACAGTGGCACAGGATCCTGAAGTGCAGTGGCTGTCAAGTGCAACAACCCTGCCCCTGCCCTTCCTCCCCTGCTGAAACACACACCAGAATTGGCTATTATTACTTACCTGTGCAGCAATACTCTGAACAGCAAATAAGCATTGAGTGGTTAAAATAATCACATCATTTATCAGCTCTTCCAGAACAGTCTACATCTCTGAGCAGTGCGCACAAAGGATTTCCAGAGACGCTTTTTTAAAAGAAATTTCTGAAGCGCCAAACCAGATTCTCTGGCCAGACAGCATCCCAGTCAATGGACAGTTAATTACTTCTGGAAGAATTCTAGTCTCTACTTGACTATCAGTACTCTTTCTAAAAAGTGTCCTCAGTTGCAATTCTAGTCTTGCATGCTGCATTTGGCGCTAGGATCCAATCCCCCATGCAAGACTGAGATCAGGTAAAAAAGCCAATCATACAAAGTGGTGGAGTTACAGCAACAACACAGAAACAGGTAAGGCTCAAACCCATAAACCCATTGTGCTCAACACAGCCACCCCACAGACTGCTCTGAAGAGGATTTCATCACAAAATACCATCCTTTGTTTAATACCCAGCACCACTTCCCTATTCTCACCACAATCCTCAGTGTTTCCTGAACAAACTCTCACAGATGACGTGCAACCTCCTCAGGTTTTAAGTGATTAGACACTTGAAAGTCATCTCATCCCCCAAGTTGCTCACTAAATGGCAAAGTGTACCTGTGTGTGAGATGGCAACAGATTAACCAAGCCCAGATTTCCCTCCTGCTCCCTTGATATCTGGATTTGGGCTGGAGTGACTGCCAATGGACAGTACCTGGGTGAACACATGTGCAGGCCAGACTGGGGATGCGCACAGTGAGCAGGTCCCAAAGGCATCAGCTAAACCTGTGAGAATGGGGTTTCTGGCTGGTCAGGTACAGCCTCTGACAAGCTCTCTGAGCTAAATGGACAAGACCATTGTCCACAAGAAGTGTCCATTTGCAACATGAAGAATCAGAGATGTGAGACCATCAGCATCCCTTTTTCTGGAGCTGAACCTTCACAACAGGGGCCAGAAATGCAGATTTGCATACAAAATAAACTGAAGCTCCTGATGTGAGTGAACACCACCAATCCTTCTGGATTTTAGGGCAGAACCAGCTGAACTGCTCAGAAAAACAGTTCTTCATTGAGTTACATAAAGGGGACAAAGGGATTGAGTCAGGGGTGGTTTGGGGTTTTTTGTTTAGGGGTGTTGGCTCTATCTGTTCCTGTCCTTCTGTAAGTATCCACTTAGGAAGCTTCCTGTAAAAGCAGCCATGTGTCTTAATGACCTAAAACTGCCCAGACTTCATTTGGTCAAATAAAACATAGAAGTATGTAAAGCTTGTGAATCAAAAACATGAGTTCCTTCAGTTACCAGCTAAAGTGAAGAGAACCAGTGGCTGCTAAATAATGTAGTTTCTGCTCTGACCAAAAAAATAAAAAAAGGGAAAAAAATCTCTATTTTGAACTATTAGTTTAGAATATCTGTTTCAGGCATTGTGGGTGCATACACTGTTCAAGTTCTAATAGCATTAAAACCAGCACAAACTGTCTTTGTGCTAACTCAAAGTAAAAACTAGGTCAGTTCCCATGGAGAGAAGAGCTCCCCCAAAGCAGTCTTTAATATCTTTCCTGTTTTGTCCATTCCCTGAAGGACAGTGGGGTGTCAGCTGGGGAGGAACCCCATCTGTGTCCAGCTGAGTCCTTGGCCTCACCGAGTGCATGGCAGGAGATTCCCACAGTGCAGGACACTGCTCTGCAAAGCCAGCACAGCACTGTCATCCAGGAGCCAACCATATGCCAACCATGTGCACCTGGGTGTCCAACAGCTTCCCAAAAACACCTGGAAACCAGGTCTCTCTGTCACCAGCAGGGATAACTCAGAATCGAGGCACCTGCAAGCAACAAAAGAATCTCCACTTCAAACTGAGAATGCTTCATTTCTTGGGATGCCAGAATGACAGAAGTTAGCTTTTTTTAAATAAAAAGGCCTTTCACCTGATGTGTCAAAATATCAGGCTTGCTCCTCCAAATTTACTGTAGTGGGAGCACATCTTCATGTAACAGCATCATTCAAGAGGTCTGTGGCAAGATTGGTATGCAACTATCAGTCTTTGAACAAGTACTGCACCCCTCAGACTCTGGAGCTGTCAGCACCTGGCAGGTGGGACAGCATCCAGCAAGGGCTGATTGCTTCTTTATTGTTGTGACTTCAATTGTTTTAATTCTCCTGTCAAGTTTCACCTTTTACCTGCTCATGAGGGTTATGGGCATTCCAAAGCCCATCTGGACAGTGAATACGATAGAACAGTAACTCCTAAAGCTTTAAGGAGGGGACTACTCGCACCTCATTCAAGTGCTGGAGCCTCAGCCCGTGCCTGCTGCTACTCACATTCTCTGCCAAAGTGGGCAGCACTCACCACTGCTGCTGACATCAGCAGTACCACACTGGTACAACCTGAATTACCAACTAGAATGTCCTGTACCAGCCTGCCAGCAGAAACTCCCTGTCCCAGAGCTCCCAGCCTAAGCTGTAGGGTCAGGTCTTCACATAGGTAATGGGTTAAAGAATAAGAATCTTGATAGTGGATAAAAATTAACTGAA